ATATATATATATATATATATGTATATATATGTATAGATGTATATAGGTTTATATATATGTACATATATATATATATATGTATATATATGTATAGATGTATATAGGTTTATATATATATACATATATATATGTATATATATATTTATATAAATATTAATAAATAAGTATATAGATACATATGCATATACTATATACATACCTCTTCATTAGAGGTGCCTATACACCCCAACTTGGCTGCGGCCAACCACTTGGTATGATGAGAGAAAAATCAGAGTAAATAAATAATTAATTTAAATAATTAATTAAATAATAAATTAATTATTTAAACAAATAAATAATTACAAAGACTTTTAAACAATTAATTAAATCTTAAATAGTTATTTAACTACTCAAACAATTAAAACTTTAAGTTGTCTTCGGTCTAGCGTTGAATTAACCCTCCAAATAGTTTGCAGATTAAAAACAACAAAATATATATATATATATATATATTTATATTTATTTATTTATTTATTTATTTATATTTGTTTATTTATATTTATATTTTTAATCACTCAATCTTATTTGAGTGTTTAGGGTTGTAGTAAGGCCTAGGGTTTACGAGGTAGTATAACTTGATAGGGTTTAGGGTTTAGGGTTTAGGGTTTCAGACTTTGTATTGGGGGTTTTAAAGAGTTATTAATTTGTAAAAACAATTTTTTTGTTTATCTTTTTCCTTTCGATACAAACCCTAAACCCTAAACCCTAATGGCTGCCGCATGCGGCGGCAGCAGGGGCTACATATGGGTTTGTTGGAGTTGAGAATAAACCCTAAACCCTAAACCCTAAACCCTAAACCCTAAACCCTCGCGAGTTAACTGTAAACCCTAGAAAATATGCCTTTTATTCGTGAGGGTTTGCAAACCCTTTTAAAGAATCAAACCCTTTATTTATTGTCTTTGGGGGTTGTATGCATCGGGCCACACAGCCTAATAAACCCTAAACCCTAAACCCTAAACCCTAAAGTTGAGATTTATTTCCTTTACCCGAGATCTCCAACAGCCCTACTTCTCATTCCGTAAACCCTAAACCCTAAACCCTAAACCCTAATCGGCACTTGGCTTTTAAATGCTGAGGTGTATCGACAGCTGCTGCTGCAGTTTGCGGCGCTGCATGCAGCAGCAAAACATCAAAAATGAATTACACATGCATGCATTTCCCTCTCTTTTAGTTGCTTCTTACAGGCAACAGCAGCAGCTGCAGCAGCAGCAGCAGCAGCAGCAGCAGCAGCGGCAGTATCACCTGCAGCAGCAGCAGCAGCAGCATCACCTGCAGCAGCAGCAGCAGCAGCAGCAGCAGCAAAAGCGGCACTTTTCGCGTTTCACCCGTGGAGGTGCAGTTCGACCCCGTGGGGTTACCCAAACCCTAAACCCTAAACCCTCGTCTTCACCTCCACAACCCTCAAACCCTTCAAATCGTGAGGGTTCCTTTCGTCAAACCCCCGTGCGCCAAACCCTTCTTTGCATCACCACGGGGCTTATTAGGGTTTAGGGTTTTAGGGTTTATTAGGGTTTGTTGGGGTGTATTGGGGCTTGTTAGGGTTAATTAGGGTTTACTAGGGTTTATTAGGGTTTTTTAAGGCTTTATATGGCTTAATAGGGTTTATAAGGTTTTTCTGGGGTTTGTTAAGGTTTATTCGTGTTTACTGGGGTTTATGAGGGTTTATTAGGGTTTATGAGGGTTTATTAGGGTTTATGAGGGTTTATTAGGGTTTATGAGGGTTTATGAGGGTTTATGAGGGTTTATTAGGGTTTATGAGGGTTTATGAGGGTTTATGAGGGTTTATGAGGGTTTATGAGGGTTTATGCAGGTGAGTGAGAGCTCAACTTTGTATGCCGAGTGTCTTGAGGGTTTGCGACGCCAGCGGTTTGCGCTCGGCGATGTTTTAAGCAGCAGCAGTCCGAGCATTGATGAGCTGTCTAAACAAGAAAAGCAAATTATTCAAGCCCTACTCAAGCAAGCAGAACGCTCTACTCAGGTTAGATCAAAACGAGGGTTTAGGGTTTAGGGTTTAGGGTTTAGGGTTTACGTTTGGGCAAGGTTAAGGACGGTGCACAGGTTACCACGGCTCATTACAGTTTTAGGGTTTAGGGTTTAGGGTTTAGGGTTTAGGGTTTATGGGCAGGCTCAGGAGAAGGAGTCGAAGCAAACCCGTGCGAGAGAGGGTGTATTAGGGTGTATAGGGGTGTATCTGGATTTAGCAGGGTTTATTAGGGTTTATTAGGGTTTATTAGGGTTTATTATAGTTTATTAGGGTTTATTAGGGTTTAGGGTTTAGGGTTTAGGGTTTATGCGCAGGCGGTAGAGACGGGGATCCATGCCTTCTGGGATCCAATGGCGCGGGTTGAGGGTTTAGAGGCGCAGGTAGCCGCAGACTTTGAAGAACTAACCCAGTAAACCCTAAACCCTAAACCCTAAACCCTAAGGTCTACGAGTTCTAAACCCTAGCTAAACCCTAGCTAGCAAACCCTAGACCCTCACAGTCTTGGGGTGTCCTGGATTGCGGTTCACGCCTTACCGTTTAGGGTTTAGGGTTTAGGGTTTAGGGTTTTAAGCTGTAGACCCTACACCCAGGCAGGCGGGCGTAAACCCTAAACCCTAAACCCTAAGACAGTGAAGCTTGAATATGGCGAGAGCTGCATAGAAAGCAGCAGCAAGAAAGAGACAAACAAGACCCTTCCTATCTCCCACTGCTGCTGCTGCTGCTGCTGCTGCCGTTGTTGCTGCTGCTGCTTCCTCTGCTGCTGCTGCTGCTGCCGTTGTTGCTGCTGCTTCCCCTGCTGCTGCTGCTGCTGCTGTTGTTGCTGCTTCCCCTGCTGCTGCTGCTGCTGCTGCTGCTGCTGCAGGTTAGTGGGAGCAGCAGAGGCGCGTCGGCAGCGGCTGCTGCTGCGGCAGTCTTTGAAGCGAGCAGAGCGGTTGTATGATCCTCTTAGCAGCGAGCGAAGCCAGTACTTCGGGCAGCAGGTAAACCCTAAACCCTAAACCCTACTTTTGAGCTGGAAACCCTCGGATCTAAACCCGGTTTATATCCGCACACACGTAAACCACAAACCAATTCTCTCTTACCGATGGCAGCAACACAAGCTTGCAATGAAGGGTTTAGGGTTTAGGGTTTAGGGTTTAGGGTTTAGGGTTTGTGAACAGGATGTAGAGGACCCCCCAGTGCCCCATCGGCAGCCCGAGCGTTATTGGGATCCAAGTGAAGCTCTGCGCAGCGCTCTAAAAAATAAAAACCTACCGATTACCTGGAAAGGTAACGCTAAACCCTAAACCCTAAACCCTAAACCCTAAACCCTAAACCTGTACACCCTAAACCCTAAACCCTAAGCCCTAAACCTGTACATTCTCCTTCCTGCTAGCGACAGAACTACGAAGTTGTTTTTTTTTTGCGGGCTGTGTTCGCCTTGAAACCTTGGAATACGTGGATTAGGGTTTAGGGTTTAGGGTTTAGGGTTTAGGGTTTAGGGTTTAGGGTTTAGGGTGTGTGATATGTACAGATTTGCATTTATTGGGTAATTTTATAGGGCCGACGGGTTTGCTGCTGCCTCGTCGCCTGACATTTGCTTCTCGAGTGCAGCAGAGGTTTATTTATAAAGCGATAAACTCAGCAAGAAGAATGTGCTTGCTACCCTATGATAGAAAACCGCATAAACAACTTCAGCTCCCGCTCATAGACCCTCTACAAGTACAGCCATACACACAACACCTACTGCTGCTGCTGATGCTGCTGCTGCTGCTGCTAATGCTGCTGCTGATGCTGCTGCTAATGCTGCTGCTCATGCTGCTGCTAGTGCTGCTGCTCATGCTGCTGCTAGTGCTGCTGCTGATGCTGCTGCTAGTGCTGCTGCTGATGCTGCTGCTAGTGCTGCTGCTGATGCTGCTAATGCTGCTAGTGCTGCTGCTGATGCTGCTAATGCTCCTGCTGCTAATGCTGCTGCTGCTGCTAATTTTGCTGTGTTAGAAGCCTCATTTGCTGCAGTTTTACTATTTATTTATTTATTTATTTATTTATTTATTTATTTATTTATTTGGGGTGTATCTGCAGTTTATAGCAGATGAGCTAACTCACCGAGTCGCAACAAACAACGACATGCGAGCAGAATCAATTTTAAGGGTTTTGATGCAGAGATACCCCAAATTAGACTTCTTCAGGCAACCTAAACCCTAAACCCTAAACCCTAAACCCTAACCCTAAACCCTAACCCTAAACCCTAAAACCCTAAACCCTAAACCCTAAAAGCAAACACATGCGAGCAGAATCAATTTTAAGGGTTTTGATGCAGATATACCTTATATTAGACTTTTTCAGGCAGCCTAAACCCTAACTCTAAACCCTAAACCCTAAACCCTAAACCGCCATTCAGAGGTCCCACCTAACGAACGTAAACCCTAAACCCTCGTTGCTAAACCCTAATCCTTCGTTGCGGTGCTGCGCTTTCAGGTATTTGCAGCTGCAGGCCCGTGCTGGGAAGCAATCTGCTGCTGCTGCTGCTGCAGCTAAACCTGCTGCTGCTACTCCTGCTGCTGCTACTCCTGCTGCTGCTGCTGCTGCTGCTCAGCCCGGCAAGTCTGGCTTCTCCTCTTTCGTTCAGCAGCAGCGAGCAAACATGCGAATGAAGAGAAATACTTAGATATATAATATAAGTATTGATGCATATATGTATAATATATATAATATTATATATTATATATATTATATATATATATATATTTGTGTCGTCCTAGTTAGCTAGCTAGCTATTGAAGACTTTTCCTCTTCCCACATTCGGGTTGGGCTAGCAAGCTAGCTAGCTAGCTATCTGGCTAGCTAGCTAGCTAGCTGTGTAGCTAGCTAGTTGCGACTGTTATTAGTGCAGTGACGGGCAGCAAGTAATACCTCCAAAGATTTATTTATTTATTTTTTTGTTTTAAAACCCCGAAAGTGCATCCTCCAAATAAAAACAAATCGTAGACTCTCGGGCCTAGCTAGCTATCTGACTAGCTAGCTAACTATCCAGCTAGCCACCTAGCTAGCTAGGCATTGCAGCTAGCCCCAGCTAGCTGGCCCGCTCAGAGAGTTCGCTGTGCGCGTAGATGCAGCTAGCTGCAGATTGCTACACCTATGTGTAGCTAGTTGCAGCTGGCTACATCTATTTCTAGCTAGCTGCAGATGGCTGCAGCTAGCTACAGCTAAGTCCAGCTAGCTGCGGCTAGCTGTGGCGTCCTAGGAGGCGAAGAGCGATGCACAAATGCATGCACACACGCCGAGATCCGCAAGCGCTAGTTGCGGCTAGCTAGCCTCAGCTAGCTATATACAGCTAGCTAGCCACCCCTACCCAGCCATAGCTAGCTAGCTAGCCACAGCTAGCTAGCTAGCCAGCTCTAGCTAGCTATCGAGAGCTAGCCAGATCTAGCTAGCTAGCTAGGTATGGCTATATAGCTAGATATGGCTAGCTGTGCACCGAGATGTAAGTAGCTATCCGTAGCTAGCTATTCCTAGTTAGCTAGCTAGCTATTAGTGAATAGAGAAGGTGCGGACATGCGGGTTAATTTTGTTGTTTAGCTTCGTCAGAACATCACCCGGCCCAAACTCAAAACTTTCTTCTAAACCCGACGCTCCGAGCACTTCCATCGATTGCTGCCAGCGTGTGGGGCTCGTAAGCTGCACATACACCCCAAATCATAAACCCTAACTTTAGCTAGCTAGCTAGCTAGAGCATTTAAATAGCTAGCCATTGTCCTTCTAACGGTCTCCGGGATTAAAGGAGGGATCGTCGGGTGTATTTAGGGGTTAGGGTTTACTATTAGGGTTTAGGGTTTAGGGTTTCGTGTGTGCGCATCTGAACGTCTGCACTGCATGGCACTAGGGTTTGCCTGCTGAGGGTTTAGGGTTTAGGGTTTAGGGTTTGTATGAAGCATGTTTCTGAGGGTTTAGGGTTTAGGGTTTACCTGTTTGACTAGTATTTGTTTGATATATTGGGGGTCAGAGTGTATCTTAGCATCGACATTAAATATAACGGGTACAGTCGGCGGATTAAAATGTATATTATTAATTATTGTCTTCAAACCCTCAGCAGCTTGCTGCATTAGCGGTGAATGAAAGGCTCCGGAGACAGCCAGCGGTACACAACGCTTAGCTCCTGCTGCTGCTGCTGCTGCTTGAACTGCAGATACACCTGAATTTGAGACAGACACTGCGTAGTTGCCTTTACATAAATAATTCGCAACCCCACAATATATATTTCTCCTGCTGCTGCTGCTGCTGCTGCTGCTGCTGTCGCTGCTGCTGCTGCTGCTGCTGCTTTCAGCTTCAGCAGCTTCAGCTTCAGCAGCAGCAGCAGCAGCAGCACACATTTTTTCTGTAGCTTCTTGACTCAGACCTAAGACAGCAAACATCTTTCCTGGACTATCATCTGCTGCTTGTTGCATTAACTCTCCTCTTCTCTTTGTTAGGGTTACAGCGTCTTTAAACGATATAACCCCGGAGAAGCATAAAGCAGTATATTCACCCAAAGATAATCCAGCGCAACAATCAAATTCAATAGGCTGCACACACATATACGCAAGGGTTTAGGGTTTAGGGTTTAGGGTTTAGGGTTTACGGGCTTAAGGTTGGGCTGAAAACGCGAAACTTACAGCTTCTTTCTTCATACACTTCCTCTAGGGTTTAGGGTTTAGGGTTTAGGGTTTAAGGCTGTGGATGGGGGAGAGGCAAGCGCAAGCGGTATTGCTTGTCTAGGGTTTAGGGTTTAGGGTTTAGGGTTTAGGACCTCCTTTTGGGTGTCTCTCCACTTGGTGTATGCAGCGAGAGATGCCGTTAGAAGCGCAGGCTGTGCCTTTTGCGTTTTGTTTATTTCTTCTGCCGGACCCCTCTCTAGCAAGTCAAGTAAATTATAACTTAAAATAGCAGAAGCCTCCTCAAATAAGTCTCTTGAAGGTCGGTGGCTGCGAGCAGCTGATATACCCATTCCTAAAGACACACAAACCACAGAAAAAAAAACGAGGGTTTAGGGTTTAGGGTTTAGGGTTTAGGGTTTACGGGGTTGGGTCTAGGGAGAGGCAGTATATCGTATATCCAGGTTTAGGGTTTAGGGTTTATGATATAGGGTATAGGGTTTAGAGACTAGAGCTTAGGGTTTAGGGTATAGGGTTTAGAGACTAGGGTTTAGGGTTTAGGGTTTAGAGACTAGGGTTTAGGGTTTAGGTGTGTGTGAAGATATACGAAGAGACAAATCAGACAGACATGTAAATAAATAAATAAATAAATAAATAAATAAATAAATAAATATGCAGAGCGAGGAATACACCACAGATAAGGGTTTAGGGTTTAAGGGTTAGGGTTGCCGTGCCCAAACGAGGGTTTAGGGTTTAGGGTTTGAGGTGTATGTACACCTCAACACTAACCTATACATTGAGCTCCCTGCCCAGGGAAGAGTGCAACACGCTTTAGAGGTTTTGTTATTGCTGCTGCTGCTGCTGCTTCTTCTGCTGCTGCTGCATCTGCTGCAGTTGCTGCTGCTGCTGCTGCTCGTGTTGCTACTTTTCTTACAGCACCTTTATGCTGCCCTCCTGCTGCTGCTGCTGCTGCAGTTTGTGCTCCATTTGCTGCTGTTGCTCTTGTTGCTGCAGCAGCAGCAGCAGCAGCAGCAGCAGCAGCAGCAGAATCAGGTGTATGGAAGCATAAACTTTTCATAGGTTTTAAAGAGACAGAGACAACTAGAGCGGGGAGACAGAGAGTGAAGAAAAGATAAAAAGAAAGACAGTGTCTCATTGCTGTAAACCCTAAACCCTAAACCCTAAACCCTAAACCCTAAACCGTAGAAGACACAAGACCATACAGTGGAGCCGAGCTGCGCATACACCCCGGACTCAACTTGCTGAGACAAACCCTAAACCCTAAACTCTAAACCCTAAACCCTTAACCCTTAACCTAAACTGTTAAGTTATAAACCCTAAACCCTAATGTGTAAAAGACAAAGAAAATATCGAGACAGTCAACCCCAGCTGCAGCAGACAGCCAGCCGCGGCTGCACAGCGGCGGTTTAGGGTTTAGGGTTTAGGGTTTAGCGGGCTGTGAGATATATCATACCCGAAGAATGTTAAGCAGCAATTGTTTATTTTCTTTTCGTTATTATTTGAATGAATCTCTTTTGCAAACCCTGGGGTTTAGGGTTTAGGGTTTAGGGTTTAGGGTTTAGGGTTTAGGGTTTAGGGTTTGCATAGAGCCCGACGGAAGATTTCGTGAGGGTTTGCTTTTCTCTTGTATATTCTAAACCCTAAAACCCTAAACCCTAAACCCTAGAGCGTTATTGTAATTCTATTTGTGTGTTAATTTTTGCAGCATTAGCCTCCACCATCCCTAAACCCTAAACCCTAAACCCTAAACCCTGAAGATGTTGTCTTCTTCATCATTTTCTTTGTTTTCGCGTTTACGCGCACCTTTTCATCTGCGTCCGCTGCAGCAAATATGCCGCTTCAGCAGCAGCAGCAGCAGCAGCAGCAGCAGCAGCAGCAGCAGCAGCAGCGTGGGGTCTGTGAAGCAGCAGCTTCTTTTAACTCTTGCTTCTCCTTCTGAATGCTGCATGCATCGAACCCCTGTTATATCTGTCTCTCTTCCTGGGGCTGAAGGCGAAATGTGTATAACAAATTATCATTCTCCTATTATAACTCGTCTTAAGCCAGGGCAGCTGTCTGTACAGCTGAGTTCAAACAAAGATAAGAAAATATATTTTGTTTCAGGCGGTTTTGCTGTTGTTACACCGTAAGCTTATTTAATCTATTTCTTTAATGTCTGTTGTTTGTTTATTTTATTTATTTATCCTCTTTTTCTATGTCTCTTCTTCTGTCTCCCTCTCTGTCTCTTCTTCTGTCTCTCTCTCTCTCTCTGTCTCTTCATCTTTGTTTATTTTGTTTATTTTATTTATTTAATCTCTCTCTGTGTCTCTCTCTCTCTCTGTCTGTCTGTCTCTTCATCTTTGTTTATATCATTTATTTACTCTCTCTCTCTCTCTGTACGTCTCTTCATCTTTATTTATTTTATTTAATATCTTTGTCTTTGTCTCTTCATCTTTGTTTATTCT